CCCCAAAACCCCAATCCCCAAAACCCCAAAACCCCAAAACCCCTCTCAAAATATGGAATATTGAATTGTGTAAAATTGAAACTATCGCTGTTACAAAGCCACGTTCTTTGAAGGGTCTACTGGGTAGTGGTCCTGACATATCGTCAACAGTCTTTTGATGCTTACAACATACTTGTTCTGTGTTTCATCGTTAAGAATGTGCTTTACTTGCGAACTCAGAATCTTGGAACGACCAGAACGCTCGTGAATACCAACCATGGTCACACCCATTGGCCAAGGAGCATTTCCGATTCCGAGTGCAAAGTACTTGTCGTTGGCTTCCACATACTGCTTCATGGTTGCATACCGAGCCAGCAAGTACAGAGTCCCCAGAATTTCATTGTTCAAGTCTTGGTTGTATAACAACTTGTAGAGTGGCTTCAGACTTTTCTTGGTGCTGAGATAGCTGTCTTCCCCGAACCTGATCTCTGGCTTACCATCAGCAAGGTCTTCTTCCCAGATGCGCATGACCTTATTTGATCCACTTCAGCACTAAGACTCACTTGTCTTTTCTAGGGACATCTCGTCAGCCTTTCTCAAACTTCTTGAAGTCAAGGTGTGACCCGCTCTTGGTGACTCTGACTCCGATGACGTCTTCAGGCTTTTCTTGTCCGATCTCGAGGTCGATGGGAGTCTTGCTCTGGAGCTTGTCTTTCAACGACTGCTGAAACAGACTGCGCTTGAGTTCTTTCTTGGTAGCATCAGGTGCCTGACCAGTCTCCTGGATGCCAGAAGTGTCGTCTTGCTCGATGGCTCAGAGCCGCTGGTAAGTTTGGAGGTCGGTTTCTCCAAACAGCTTGATGGGGTGTCTGAGTTTCCTGAGTCTGTTCTTGGTGTTGAGTATTTCATCTTCAGTCATTGTTTTGGCTTCTTCTTGTGACTTGTGTTGTTCTTCATCAACAGGTCGAGGAGCTGCAGTGTTACTGGTTTGTTTGGCTTCTCTTTCGATAAGCGAAGGCTTGGAGTGAGCTTGTTGCTCATCTTCTTCGGCTCTTCTGAGACTCGGTCAGGCTTGAGCCTTGGGGTCTCCTTGAGTCTGGAGTTTGCTGGTGGTCTCTCACTGGTAAGATAGCTCTCTGAGTTTCTGTAGTTCTTTGGCTTTCCGTTTATTTTCAGATTCTTCGTGTTCTTGTTTGAGCTGGTCATGTTGCTGCTTAAGCTTGTCAGCACGTTTAGTCCAGGACTTCTTGCCGAATGAGTTAGATTTGAGTTTTTGAATGTGATCTTTGAGGAAACTCATATTTATTATATAATTCAATATGGCTAAATTTTAAGGGGTTTTGGGGTTTTGGGGTTTTGGGGTTTTGGGG